GCGCGTGCGTGTTTGTGTGTCCTTGTGTGTGCGCGTGTGCGTGTGCGTATGCGTGCGTGTGTGCGTGTGTCACTGTGTGTGCGAGTGCGTGTCCGTGTCCGTGTGCGTGCGTGCGTGTGCGTGCGTGCGTGTTTGTGTGTGCGTGTACGTGTGCGCATGCGTATGCGTGTGCGTGTGAGTGTGTCACTGTGTGTACGAGTGCGAGTGCGTGTGCGTGTTTGTGTGTCACCGTGCGAGTGTGTCACTGTGTGTACGAGTGCGTGTGCGTGCGTGTTTGTGTGTGCGTATGCGTGTGAGTGTGTCACTGTGTGTGCGAGTGCGTGTGCGAGTGCGTGTGCGTGTGCGTGTGATTGTGTCACTGTGTGTGCGTGTGCGTGCGTGCGTGCGTGTTTGTGTGTCCTTGTGTGAGCGTGTGTGTGCGTGTGCGTGTGCGTATGCGTGTGCGTGTGAGTGTGTCACTGTGTGTGCGAGTGCGTGCGAGTGTGTCACTGTGTGTGCGTGTGCGTGGGTCTATTAGACAATAATTAGTCTAAGTCTTATCTTGGCATTAACATTAGCATTAAGTTTACGATGTTTCTGAAAACGGGCCCCTGGTCATTATATAATATATAGCAGATTATATGGTCAATACGTGACGTTTACCTTGTATACAGGCGCATGCGAGCGACTTCAGCAGCACACAGTCGTGACATGACCGATCATCGTAGAATGGTTCCAAAATGCATGATATGATGAGCGACCGGCGCAGGACACACGGGGGAGCGAGACGAGATGTGGGGGGAGGGGGGTGAGTCAACCCCGCGCGGTGGTTATATACGTCGACTGCCGTCGTGTTGTCAGGCGCGCAGTGAATCCCGTGTGGAAACCTTTATGTGAATTCATGTAGAATGGCTTCGATCCGTAGACTATGTTTCAAACGTGTACTAGTATGTAGACGGCCTAGCTCTAGTACTATAGCCCGCAGGATCGCTGCCGCAGGGCTATAGCACATTAGCGCATAGCTGCAATCTAAGCAAATGGTCCAACTGATGTGACCAAAAATTTATCAACAAAACGTAAAATGATCGGGCTTTTTAACACTTATCTATCAACATGGACATCTCACCTATCTTTTTGAACACTTTCACAACTTTACACCAGGTATTTATGCTGTTATTCCTCAAAGATAGCACTTATCGAAATTACATTTCAAATTATGTGGCGTGCGCACGCGTAATGTCACCGGATATGTTGGCAAAACGCAAGACAGCTATTCTGCGTGAAAGGGTGCATGTATTATTAACGGGGGTGGTGGGTAAACTCGCCCTGATGCGCCAATGTGCGCACAATCGGGAGCACAAGCAGGAACACCCCCGTTAATAATACATGCACCATAGCTGCTTTGCGTTTTGCCAACATATCCGGTGACATTACGCGTGCGCACGCCACATGATTTGAAATGTAATTTCGATAAGTGCTTACTTTGATTTTGAGGAATAACAGCATAAATACCTGGTGTAAAGTTGTGGAAGTGTTCAAAAAGATAGGTGAGATGTCCATGTTGATAGATAAGTGTTAAAAAGCCCGATTATTTTACGTTTTGTGGATAAATTTTTGCTCACATCAGTTGGACCATTTGCTTAGATTACAGCTGTGCGCTAATGTGCTATAGCCCTGCGGCAGCGATCCTGCGGGCTATAGTACTAGAGCTAGTAGACGGCCCGGCCTGACCGGTTTAGAGTACGGGTAAAGAACAGCAACAGAGCTGGCCTATCACGTACACGCACGGGCGAGCACGTGTCGGTGATTGGCAGTTGCCGTGGGCGTGTCTCGACGGGAAACGTTTAAATTCTGTTTTTGACGGCTATAGGACGCTCGCACATTACCCAACAATCTTTGTGGGGCATTTCGAGCCGTGCCCCATCTTCGTGGCTACTCAAAACCCTCGTGCTATGAACAGAACTCTCGGTGGACGATTTTCAGATCATCATCCCCTATACCCTAAAGGGACTCGATAAAGTATTCAGAATAGTGCAGGTTAGTTGTATTGGCGGCCGCTATGCGGCGTTTTCGTGCTGGTGCACGAGGAGGGCTGCATGACGTCAAGCCATTACCTAGTAAGAGTAAGACATTACCTAAACAAGTAACAAGTAGGCCTAGTAGTAGTAGTAGTACACACAAACACGTATAGCATTTAGTTTCGAAACATAGGCCTATTCTGTAGTATAATTATACTATAGGTTTATTCCTATCCTAGTAGTAGTATAAGTATTCAATCACAAACTTACATGTCCAGCAGGTGTTTTGCTACCTCCGCATCCGACTTCACATCAATGGCCTTCTTTGCTGCTGCCCATCTCTCGATTTGAGCATGGATATTTATTCTTGATATTCCTTTGCGAGCGTTGACGCTTGATATTCCTTTGCGAACGTTGACGCTTCCTTTTCTTCTCAGATTCAGTAAATACATTTCTGCGTTTGGCTCGTTTTGTTTTCACACCCACCTTTCCCGCGTCCTCCATTACGACTGCCGTTGTCACGGTCTGAAATAGACTGGTACTCGCTCCCACCTCGATTACTCGATGGGACCCTAAGCTGAGAGGTGGGACCGGGTACCAGTCTATTCTCTGTTTCAGGTTTGTTGTGCAAAATCTGAGGCGCAAACGTTTGTTTATACCGCTGGTATCGCCATCTAGTGAGCCGAAACCTAAAAATTATCAGTTTTCCCAGTGGTTATATATAGACTTGTTTTTTTCCTGTTATGTGCTGTTTCCTGGGGCTGAGCCTGGGGTACCCATTTGATTTTCAGGAGGGATTGTACAGCTCTAGGAAACTATTAAAAGCGGCCGAGAGCTTATTACTACGGTCTAGAATATCAAGACCAATTCATGGTTGAACAAGACCAAGACATGATAGCACATTTGAAAAAAATACCTGGGGCCAGATTCAAAAACACAGTATATGCTCGATATAGGCTATTAATGTGGAATTCGCAAAAAATCAATTCACCAAAAAAACTATTCTATTTGTGTGTGTGATATGCATAATTCAAACCATAGCATATGTACGGACACAGATAGTCCGAGCCGACGCAGACCCCAGTAAACCCGCACCCTCAGATTAGCAAAGCGAAGTTTACGTCTGCATTTGCGGACTAGGACACAGAGTGCTTAGCAAACTTCAAAACAACGTTTTTAAATCAAAACCAGTTTCCATACAAAATAGTAATTTTATTTGTGTTTACAACGACAATTCGATTTTCTCATTTGAAACATTTCTTCAGGGTAATGCCTTGTAAAAATCTTTCATAAGAAATACTAAGGCTACAGTGCAATCATGCCGTGATTATTTATAAATACATGCATCGACGTAATCTATACATTTAGAATAATGTAAATAATACAATACACATATATGGAATTGTAGCGTACCGGTAACCATACTGATGGAAGCAGCAACCCGTGAATAAAATCTTTAGTAAGAAGTTGTCAATATCAAGCCCACTCCCTGTCATATTATATAACCAAACCATATGGCACATTGATACAATGGAAGCAGAGCATACGAGATTGAGGCGAATGTGTTGCCGACCTGATCTGCCAAGTGAATAAATAACCGGCTAGTATGTTTGGAATCAACGTTCACCTTATAATTATATATCACAACCAGATAACATTACACTCCCAGGTCCAGTAATTGCTCTTACAATCCATTTAAGCGTCTCATATTCGTTGTTCAATATCGTACGCGATTCATTATTTAGCCACTACATGGCGGTGGAGCTTGATCACGGGCGTGTTAGCTACACAGTGTCTATAATTCCATTATACAGGTAGCATGTAAACGCTTTAGCAGTCAGTGATTCATTGACTGATATTCTGTCACGACAGCGTAGACGTAAATAATCCGTAAATTAACAATGTAAAAATTTGTAGGAGATAGCGATGCACATGCACACACCTGTTGTATTACATGTACACATCTGTGCAGCTTATACAGATATGTTCACGGTTCTACTACACGCACACATATGATATATAACGTATGTATATAACAATCTGATAGGTGATCAAATAACTATAATACTAATGTGAATAACTTATGTGCCGTGCAAATGTAGCCACTCGTTGTTAATTAAGTCATAACCTAGCTGCCACCATTAACTTGTAAGCTATTATAACATGTACACGGGTTGTCTAAAAGCGCTAAAAGTATTAAAATGTCTGCCCGCATCAAATAAACTAACGCACGTGCATAATATAATAACGCGCAGATAAAATGTCAAAAGTTTAAGAATAAGTATCTATAACTATAATATAAACTGTAACTGGCTATCAGGTATCTGCTACCGTAAAGCGTATGAACAAGAACATAATAGCATTTGCCTACACATTTCCACACATTGTGCTTCTCAAACGATTTGCCCTCATGGAAACTGATACTCAATTCTCTCACCATATTTCGAGTAAAATCGGCATTGAATACATCCCGTAGTGCAGCCGATGTGCACTTATGCAATAGTCGCTTGTATAAAATCTATTATATTTATGTGGCAGTGACACTGGTATATATAAAATTCGTCTCGGGGGGGGGGGAACTATTCACCTTGGCACTAAAGGTCACTCAAACTTCTGAAACCTAAACATCTAAATAGGATAATACCTGGAGAAATTGTCAAGGAACAGAGCTCAGATACAGTAATTCTGTGTACCCAGACATCTCTCCATGTGTATTTTCCTCACCTGTATCCGCTATGGCAGTACAGCCTCATACATCTTGCTCATAGACGGCTTGCCAGAAGTACTGGATACCGGGACAACACTGGGACGCCAGGTGAGGTGTAATTCAGGCAACGTGTGGCATCACGTGTTGCTCACGGCATGTGCTGTACTATAGCTCCCCCTGGTGATGAAATGTGACTATGTCAAAATCATGTGTTGTACTATAGCTCCCCCTGGTGGTTGTCCATGACATTCTCACGGCGTGCCATGTGCTATAGCTTCCCCTGGTGGTGGTATGTAACCTCATGCTCAGGGCATGTACTATAGCATATACATATAGCATGTACTATAGCTCTTCTTTGGTGGTGGTTGACGTAACTTAAGTCCAGAGCATGTCTGGCACGAGCCCCTCTTTCGTTGTAGCTGGCGGCCTCATGTCCACGTCAGCTAGGAAATGCAGAGGCAAAAAGACGAGATATCCCTTGACCCTCAACAGCTGCTCTCTTGCTGCATCAACGTCCGTGATTGCCAGGTGGCGCTTTGCCTTTTCCTTGTAGTCGGCCAACTGCTCAAACGTGCGCACGAGGTCTGTCGGGATGCAATTGAATACCTGTAAAACAATGAAAAAACAATGTGGTTTCGGATAAAAATTTAAACGATCCAATCTATTGACCTTTTTGGTGCTATGGGAAATGCAGGGAGTTCTCAGCATGTTTCCATTGAATAAAACGGCAAAATACAGGAAAACCATATAAAGATGCAAAGAGCAAAGCAACAACATGTTTTCGTAGTTTATATTATATAAAGAAAAACGAGATTGCAAGAAATGCGAGATTGTCACTTTTAAGAGTGTTGTAAGACATGGGGTTGTAACAGAATGACGCACCTGGTCACAGAAAATTTTGGAATTGCATAAAATATTAGTACTAACATCACTAGTAAGTACATCCTCAACTCTTATAGGATCAGTGTGGTTATCATTAAAAAATTGAAAGCATCCGAACAACTGGCCTTTTTGCTACACACCCCAGTCACTTACTACGGGAAATGTATGGGTGGAGTTGCAAGTGAGTTTTCATCAAACGAAGCAGCAAAATAATAGGTACAACGCACTTTAACCATACAACGATTGAGCAAATTCAATTATCCATGGGGCCGTTGTCAGAAACAAAATTAGTCGCAACATTAGTCTTACCATTAACTTCCACTCGTAAACCGTTGACAGAAACATCGTAAGGTTACGAGAACGAAAAATCGTCGCAAATATCCTCATAACATTACGAGAGCTCAGACCCTCTCGTAACTTTAATATAAAGTTGAAAATAACACATTTACACTACGAATTACAATTATAGTGATATTATATTTTATAATCATGAATAAAATGTGTGTTTTTCATGAAAAACACGTCAAAATCATTAATTATCTACCGCTAATAAAACAAAACAATACATTTACAAATGGCGTATGGCATTTGTTCTCTTGTTCTAAAGGTTTTCCACGCTTGCCACGATTCTCGCGTCTCGCGTTACAGTGTGAGAATTTGTCTTGTTGTGCAGAATTAATTCATGACCACGTCGTTTTTCATCAAATATTATTTATATGTGGTTAGCCATCATAATATGCATAAATTACTGTGATGTACAATAAATGTGTATGAATTTGAATTTTGTGATTGATTCTCATCCAATCAGCAGCCTTGTGATGAAGTTCCTGTTATCGTAAGTTTTCTAATAGCTGCGATGTGTTTCTGTCAACGCTAGTCTCGCAACATTAGCATTAGTCGTAAGTGTTATCGTAGCATTAACTTTAGCATTAACTTTACGATGTTTCTGACAACGGGCCCCATGTTTTCAGTTTATATTTTGTAAAAAAAAAGAAGAAAACTTTAATTTGCAAGAAATGCGAGTCACTTTTAAGAATGTTGTACGACACAAGGTCATAGCGGTATGACGCACCTGGTCATAGACGTCCGTGTTGATGGAGGTTGTGCGGATCCACAAGTTCTTGTAGAATTCGTCCGTGACCGGGTCGCCGACGATCTGATTTCCATTCTCATCGTCCATGAGGCCAAGCAGTTCCCTGCACGCAGTGCGAACAGAAGAAGATATACGGTGGAATGCAGCTGTGACTAACCACAGTCTCACACTAGTGTATTGCTGTAGTGTGCGAGAGTCCGTGCGTGGGTGAGTGCGTGCGTGAGTGCGTGGGTGGATGCACGTGTGCGTGGGTGGGTGCGTGGGCGTGTGTGTGGGTGCATGACGGGTGCGTCTGCGTGCGTGGGCGCGTGAAGGATTCGTGCATGCGCGTGCGTGCGTGATGGGTGTGTGCGCATGATAAGAAGGCTGTCGAGTTCTCACCTGAACACCTGTGTGCGGAGTGAACCCACGAACAGTCCCCTCTGACCGTCCTTGCCATCGAACGTACACGGAACAAACTCCGTGTCTTCAAAGATGGCCGCTGTCTCGCTGTCCCTGCTGCCACGCATGCTGCGCTCGTTGATGTTGGCAGAACCTATGATGCAGAGGCGGTCGTCTACGATCAACATCTTGCTGTGGATGTAGATCAGCTCAGATACCTGCAAACGTGAGAATCATTCATGTCATATATGCGAAAACGACAGCAAGGATGGGGTGTAGTAACATGTATACCAGTTATACATACTAGTAGGCATGAATGCTAGCATCAAGACCTCGTAGTTAGGCAGTAATTACTCTCTAATTACAAGCTCTTGTTAGTATACATGCAGAGTATAAGTATACGGTAGATGTATAGCATTACCATGATTCATGGTTCTAATGGTTAGGGGCTAAGGAATAGTAGTATAAGTAAAATAAGTAAAATGATATAAACTTATAAGTAAGTAAATCACCTCAATCTGCATAGCTGGCCTTTCTCTCTGCACAAGGCACAGCAACGACACTAACACAAACAACTTTACATTCTCAGTTTTAATTTAGTAACAGGTACCTGTTTGGTCGATGGACACAGCTAATTCGATAGATTTCATAAGATAATACTGGATCTACAATGATATATTAGTACAGGAGTTTGTGTTACTTATTATTAGTACAATAGCCAGTATTGTTACAGGGCCTCGTAAAGACAGAAGCTTTGGTTATGCAGACTGCTTTCACCCTCACCCTACTGATAGATAAAGTCTTATTAAATACACACACACACGTACTTACCGGTTTGTCATCCAGTTCGTCATGTGTGCGCATGCCGTGGAAGGTGATGTACTTCTGAGCGGGGATTCCTGCAGCATGAATGTGTCAAATGTCACACCAGGTGTCACAATGCACATAGATGTCACACCACGTGTCACAATGCACATAGATGTCACACCACGTGTCACGCGCCGCATACACAGTGACACACAGCACATGGCAACACTGGTAACACAATATGCACCGTCACTGTTGCTCAATAAACCACACTACACGTCACACTACAAGACAGATCGCATGCCACGTAACATCTTCCATCTCACTACGACACGTCACATACCGACATTAATCGCGCCGCGCCGCCATCACGTGCACCTACCGGCTGCTCCGAGTTTTTCTAACAGAGAATTGCCGCCGCGCGAGATGGAGGCGTACTGCCAGTGAGTGACAGCCTGAATCGCGTAGCCGCTAGGAGCTCCTACTTCTCCCTCGAAGCCTGGCAGGAGGGGCATCACGACGTACACCCTGCATGCGTGAGAGAGACATGACAGCACCATCGTGTAAAACAACAGTTAGGAAGCCTGGCAGGAGGGGCATCACGACGTACACCCTGCATGCGTGAGAGAGACATGACAGCACCATCATGTAAAACAACAGTTAGGAAGTCTATTGTCACAGCTGCCTCCGTCGGAGGTGTTACAAGACGGAAGCAAACACGCAGCAATGTGTGGAAATACGTGTGACAGCAGCTCACACATATTATGTGAGGTTCATGGTCACCACCGGCATCTCACGCACTTTATCAACCTTTCAAATGGATGCGTGAACACAGTCGACCCGGCATATAGGGAAGGGTCGATCAAGCAAAAGCCCAACGCCTTCGTTGTAATTGGAAAAGAAACCCACGGCAACGTGCTACTATGTTGGAAGCCGGAACTCACGGGAAAAAACGCACCGCGCCGTCTAAAACACTGATGTCAAATTACATGGATTATCACGCTTTAGAGACTTAGCGACTTAGTGGCTTAGTGGGTTGACGTGGGCGTGAGTATATTCACCTGAAGTTCTCGCCTGCCTCGTGAGCCTGCCGGATGCGATCGAACAGAGCCTGAGCAATGCCGTTAATCACAACAGTGCTGTCCATCTGTGTGATGAAGAACTGATTCTGTAAAGTAAGCAATATACAGTGTGAGTAACACTACCACGCACAGGTTAGGTGAACATGTTGTGAACGTGTTTATATGTAAAAGCAGATGACGAAAACATATAGAGCCAGTGGCTCAGAGAGAGAAGGAATGATCGCTGGAGGTGGGGGCAATTGCTGGGACAGCAAGTGACAAAGATTGAGAGAGAGGCAGAGACAGAGGGACTAGGATAGAGACAAGGTCAGCAAGTGAACATGTACGTCCTTCCATCCGTCTATACGTACGTACATACATACATACATAGAAGGACAAAGGTGAAACAGACCACCATACAGGTACATACAGACTTGGGTAGATGGACGGGTAGACAGACAGGCACTGCTATAGCGTTAGTTACCTCTATGTAGATGAAGTATTTAGCTTCTCTGATGGCTGTCAGATAAGCCTGGTGGATGGAATCCTCAGTTCTCTCAATACCAATGGACCAGTCACTCACACTGCGCAGAGCCTAGAACAACAACAATATGATGATGATCAGGTATCTATGTTTTTTTACTACCACTAACAGGAGCAGCAGCGACAGCAACATTGGTGATGACTAGGATAGTTAATACTGCTTTACTGCCCTCTCCTGAGTACTGGCAGAAACACAGCAATGAGTAGGTTATCTATGCTTGGAACTAATGGCAGCAGCAGCAATAGAGGTTTCTGCAAATATTTAAATTACCCACAATGCAACGCCGTGATGACCAGGGTCTCGTTATGCCTAGAGTCCCTTAATATAGAAGGGACTCTAGGTATGCCAAGCTACTACTGCCCTCTACTGGCCAAAGTGGATGGATTAGCAATACAGTGTTGACCAGGGTATATCATATTACTAACATCCTCTCTAGTGGTCACTAATGGCAGCAGCAGTAATACAGTGATGACCGGGGTATATAATGTTGGTAACTCCCTCTACTGATCACTAACTGTACTACTGGTTGCAACACAATGTGAAGTAGGGTATCTGTCCAGACACACGTTAATCATGATTATTTTCTGCCTCCACACTAATATCCTGCTGCAAATAAACTTGTTAACAAAAGGACAGCTCTATATTATCTATACCTGCACTTGACACTTGATAGCTTGGTTCTGAACCTCTGGTGGCACTGTGATGTTGTCATAGGATTTTGGCAACAGCAGCGGAAAATGTTCCTCAAACTTTGCCTTTTCCGTCTTTGGGGGTAAATAACATAAAATCGTACATCAAAATGAGGTAACGCAAGATTTTATGTTGTAACACATTTGTCAGCGAAATGACCAAAGTGAATCGAGCTTCACAATACGACAAAGCAATATATTATGTAATGTGAATAAATGTGAATAAATGCAAGTGAACTTTTACAAAGTCAACCTTAATGAACATGTGTAACAAGCCAACAATGTGTAACGAGGGAACATACGATTAGTAACGTCAATGATAGAACGAATGAGATATAGTATAGAAATTAACTTTAGTAAAACTCGAGATACGAGCGTTTTCACATTCGCAGCAGACGCCTTACTTTGGCATGGTTCCAACGCTGTACGAAGTGGCGAGCGAGGTCGCGCGCGGGGGCGCCGTAAACACAGGACCCGATGTCGTGCCACGGCATCCGCGGCGTCGTCTTACGGTCAATCAGGTCTGCAAACACAAGAACAGCAGTATTACGCGACAGCGCACATTATCACGTGAGGTGTGTAATGTGCGGGTTATGTTGCAAGAGTTATTCTCACATCGCAGTATGGTGACAAACTGTAAAAAGATGCAGGATGTTATGACGCCATCTTGTTTAGACACTAGGTAAATTAAACACCATTTAAATAAAGCGGTTCATTAAACGTAGCAGAAATCGCGTTAAAAATCGCGCAAAATCTCAGCGCGTGCCATTAGCAGCATGTTTGTCACGTGCTGCCCCCTGGTGCACAAATAAATCTTAATAATGACCAACTTGTGATAAGATACCACGTTACCTGAGAATGGTACATTTAGATCTGTAATGTCCTTGAAGATGAAGTTGGAGTAATCCTTGCCAACCCACAGCCTCTTGCCGCTGCTGTCCACTGTAAATGCTTTGGGCAGGGATGGTGGTTGCACACTACAACACCATAACAACATTTACAGTTAGTGGTTAACGTAGTAGTAGTTCATTGCTAACGTTTTAGCTTCGCGGCATCATATAATACACTGGGGTCGTGAAGTCGATCTGTATCCCAGAGAGACGGTTCAGCCTCCATTAAATAACTGCTCATTGTCCACAAACATATACAGTTAGCCACGAATCAATAGAGAAGCATCCTTAAACTAATAGTGGCACTAGCAAACATGGGAGCAGGCATTACGTAGCGTAGTCGGAGCAACATTGATTATAATGTTTACACATCTATTCGCGGAAGCACAGTTTGTTTTTTTTCGCCACAGCACGTGCGACAGCAGCTGGAGATATTGCCGCACATAACTAATGTCTCTCCCATAGGAATGTCAGTACTGAACACGTGTGACGCCTCTCCCAGAGGAATGACAGTACTGAACACGTGTGACGCCTCTCCCAGAGGAATGACAGTACTGAACACGTGTGACGCCTCTCCCACAGGAATGATAGTACTAAACACGTGTGACGTCTCTCCCAGAGGAATGATAGTACTGAACACGTGTGACGCCTCTCCCACAGGAATGATAGTACTGAACACGTGTGACGCCTCTCCCACAGGAATCAGTATTCGCTAACTTCCGCACTCATTGATTCGTCCATCTCTGTTGCAGTGCTAGCCACGGCAACATCAGGTACCTGACTACGTATTACGTAACTGTCTAACAGTACGGGCTTCTCTGTATTGAAATTTCATTGAGCTGAGAACTAGAACGACTTTGACAATGATAACACACTGGGATTTCCATCAACACGTCTCGTCACACGGTCGGCTGAATGCGATCACTAGTGTAGTAGTAGCGTTGCGTGGAAACTGACAGGACGGAACAGTAGCATGATCGCCAAAGTGTAAAGGTCTCAGATGCAGTAAAATGCTATAGACTGATGCGAGTGTTTTTGGTATGAGCTCCTGGTATCAATTGATCAGCCCCCATTGCTATCTTTTCATCAGTCAGTGGTTGAGGTCAGGAGGACTCCTTTGTGCGTCCAGAGATGCTCCGAGTTATCAGTCGAACAGTCAGTAACCTGGGCAGCAAAAAAACAAGAAGCTCAATAGGCAACTGTGCTCTGAAGCATGAAATGTTATATATGCTTACACTACATGCTACCTTTGTTTTTTATGTTATAGTTATACAGTATATTACTATAGGTATATACACACGAGCGGTCGAAATTATTATCTTTCGGACAGGAGGAGACACGTTACGCGAACAGAGGCTTTCCTGGTACTCCAATGAGAAAGCTCAGTACAAATATGGAAGTATACTAATCCGGTGAATTTAAAACTAAGAGATAGACAATAATACAACGCCATGTGCATATATAAGTATAATTTAGATATATGAGAATTTATAACTAACAATGCTTGGCCACATAATAAACGCACAATACTGAACATTTCTGTTCACATTCAGATAGCGCAAGAGATGGATGAACATAATCTATGCTTTTCATAATTGTTATTTCAATTATATTTGTAGGAGTACTGTTACCATGCGCGCTAAGCAGCATGCGAGTGTCAGTCTACAGACTGACCCTCGCATCGCTCCCCTTGCTCGACTTGATTCTAGCCTATCGCGCTACGGGATGTCTAGTTCTTCACGAGGTCTCTAGGCGACGCTGCCAGGTTTCGCAGCCTTAGAGCCGCCAGGGGCAGCAGACGTAGTCAGGTCACCATGGCCTTAGTTTGTCTCAAGTTGTTGAGGCACTCTGCTACTCCAAATATTAATCCTGCAGGGCGCCGGAATGAACGCACAAGGTGCGCCATGCCCAGGGACGCAAGTTAAATGTTCTCTCAGTACTAGACTGAGAGCCAAGAGTATTTCGCTGGCCATGCATATCAACAAACTCATACGGCCAGATGACCTTATGACAAAATTAACTCCTAGTTCCTACATTTCACTGCGGCGTTTGGCTTAAACTCCCAGCACAGAGAAACGAGCGGTGATGGAAACCACTGATTCGACTAAACTACACCGTGCAGTCTGATGACATATTCTGGAGAGGCAATTACAACGTTGGCTGCACCATCTGCCGACGTGTGATTTGCCAAACAAATGATAGGCCAATGGTCAGCGGGTTCGGTGACGTCAACGTTTTTATCTTTTGCTACGACAATCATCGGTGAAAACCGCAGCTAAACGTCTCATGGCTATGTGGCGGATTGCTTGGCAGAACACAGGTATACTGACGCAAACAAGCGTACGTGTTGTCAGATACAAGCACTTCGCAGGTATAATAGAATTTGAGAAATAACTTGCACGTGTCATTTACTAGCCATGTAATGTTTCATACTAACTTTTCAATGCCTTTACTAAGACAAGCCGCGCAGTGATGGGGGAAGGGGCATACGACGATTTAGAGTTCTATTTATCTGTACGACTAAATGCAGCTGATATAGGTATGTGTGGATTTCAACACTAGTCATGGCCACAAGGTTATTTGCTAGTCTAGTAGCTGGAGAAATTCTACGTACGTTTGGCGTAACGTTAGTCGCTACTCATGTGTCCGGCTTAACTGCTGGGGCCGACTACAGAATGTGATATTCGACTCACAAAACTTAACTTATTAATACTGCTCGATTACAACCCCGACCGCGTAAATTACTGGTGTGGGTTTCCGGCAGAGTGCTAGGTTGATACCGAGGTAGGTGGGTTGGCTTAGAGTTGTTTAGGTATTTTTTTAGGCTATTGTTTATAGGACATTGTTTAAGTGGTTCTATCTCTCGTTTCTTCACTCGGGTCATGCATGTACCCTCAACAAAAATGTATCTTAGTATTAGCGCGTTATCGAGCAATCAAACGTAATAAGTGACTCCAATGTTTAATTGGCGTCATGCAGACTGTTACATATGACGCGCCAACGATAGGGCCGACAATAACAGTGCGTGGCGCATGCTGAATTAATTCGGTTTCTGCCGTAGGTTTAACATTGTGCTTTTCAGTGCTGGACGACTACACACGAGCTTCAAAAATTCTGAGGAATGGTCTTGGTGATCTTACGAATGATCAGACCACCAGAAGCTTCTCGTCGTGATGGCATCCAGAGGCAAGACTTACGGGAGGTCCCGTGTCGCCTTGGGGTTCTTTGAATTTTGTCTTCTTAGGGACATGAAAAAGCTGAGTGGAAAAAGCTAATCACATGCCTGCTCTAAACCATAGTCACATTAAAGACAGTTGACTGTCTCCCATAAACTTTCCGCCAATAGCATAAAATTTGCAACACAGAGCGGTGCTCCTCGACGCGGTAACCGTCTCGTCAAATGTCCATGGGGCTACACTAACCTGAAAAAAAATACTCTACGCCCATTAATTTATCCAAATTTATTTGAAAGGGTTACAATTTCGGGTCGAGGACCCACGGCCTACTTTTATGAATGGCTTGCCTGAGTTTAGGCAAACAGGCATACGCTGCATTAAACAGACAAGGGAGTCGGTTTTTTTTTTCTCTACATTGGACCGATTCCCGATTGAGAGCTTTCACGCGTAAGTGCGATTAGGCATATAGTTTTCACGTGAACTTGGGCCTATACTGTATATTCACATGACAGTTTAGTTCCATGCATGAATCTTCACCTGGATCAGTGTTCACTACTGTGTTGCCAACTAGGGCTTCATCTCTAAACGCTATCACGTGCTGAGTGGATGTCGGCGGATGCGTAGGCCTGGAGGAAAGCGAACCGTTACCGCATCGCGTAGCCACTGTGAGTGCTTTTAACCGGTCGTTTTAGGCCATGGAAAGCGCATTCGGAGAACGGCGGTACGGTCGATCGAAGCGCACGGCCTAAAATTGTTATGGAAAGTTTATGGAAATTCTTTATGGACTAGAGGTAAAGTTCCATACATATTTTCGCATAAAACTTAGGCAGTGGCGCTCGACGGGGTACGGGTCTGCCAACTGTTCCATGGCTAAAACGACGCGTTAAAAGGATAGACCGAAAACAGGGACCTCCGCTGCGCAGCTTTTCTTAGTTTGTATTGTGTGCCATGACAACAGCCCTAGTTTTGAGACAAAGTATGAAAACCTATACCCATCTACTAGGCGGTTAACTTCAATAAAACTTTCCATAAAATTTAATGGCCGTCGGCTCTCGACCGGCTAACCGGGTCTCAGGATGTTGGCATGGAACTAATAACCTGAAAATACTCTAGCTACGCGCATTTTCGAACAACGCTTTTTTTTTGTATGGCGCTTGTTATCAAAAGTTTCTCATCAGGCGAGGCAGATTGTATTAGCGAATAATGTGATCTCTGTATTTTTCATACATCGCATTAAGCTAATCAGTTTGCTGCAAATGATTTATTTGATGTTGCCGGTTATCCGCTCATAATAGATCCTCGACCATAACTATATTGTTTATGCTATTCGTATTACCTAGCATGCAACCAGCTCTAAGTACCCACAGATCCGCCCTACCAGTTTGATGTTGTCTGGGTTCATTCTGTATATGAGGGAAACTTGCCTGTAGGGCTTGAGTTTTGATGGCCCGCCAGGGCCGCTCTACTCGTCTATATTACGGCAGGAACAAATACCGCTTTA